GACTGATTTTGAGAAGAGAGATCAGGACGACATTGACAGCAGACTAACCGGAGGAAACAAGCGGGCATATAAGTAAAAATCTGTGCAAAGATGAATTTTAGACACTTTCTGAACAATAATAGTGTCATGCATTACCCCTTACAGTCACCAGAACTTCAGCTGAATATGTAAACTGCACGTTTTGAATGCAACATATCCATACATGCATGCTTGTGTATGAAGGACTTTATGAAAGTTTACAAGATACAAATAGAAACCTAGTGCCAACTAATTTTCTGTAGTACTTGAAGAAGTTCATAGGTATAAGCAGAACTTGGCCGTGAAATGTATGTACACATGCAAGCATGTGAATTAGACATTTTAAAGTTTTCTTTTATTGTCTATCTAAAACACAAAAATGCTATAAATAAGAAGCCTGTAGCTTAAAACGTTCCAATTAAATACAGTCTAAAGTTACTGGGGATTAACAGCTGTACCAATGTGTGACTTTGAACAGAACAGAAGCACAAACTTTTGAAACTGAATCACAAATAATCTTTATTCTCTAGTCTTTCCACTACTAAATCCTGAACGCTACTCTTTAGTGACCATTACACCTATTAATCTGGCATTCACTGAAACAAATGCAAAAGGTAGTTGTGCAATCTGTACAAAACTTTTTGGTGTCTTTTTTTGGGTGTTCTACTATGGGATAGAAGACCAACTGAAATTTTGTAATAAAGAAACTAATGGATAAACGGCTAACTTTAGCAAGGGACTACAGTATTGGAATAATCAAAAATTCATTTCTGACGTGAAGAGATTTTTTTTCTAAAAACAATGCAATATTAAATTTGCATTATGAACTAGGTCAAAAAAGATCATCAACAGTTGCTAAAGCAGAATACTTGACTAAATGCAGCCATACATTTCATGCTGTAATGAAAAAATGTGATGTAGAAACAGTTAATAAATAAGAATGATAGTCACAAGCCTGAGCTATTGTATGAAAAATGATCATCCACAGTAGTTATTTTAAGTACTGAGTATATGTTCCAAGATTTGTTAGAGAGAGGTCAGTATCTAAAATTTAACAAGACTTAACAGCTTAACAATGTTTTCATTTTGCACAAGGCTCCTTTAATAGCAGATAACCCCCCGCCCCACTAATGGCACACAGCCTACCTGAAATTAATAATTTTAGAAGATTTTTAAACTCTGTACAAAGAAAAGGAGGACTTGTGGCACCTTAGAGAGAAATTTATTTGAGCATAAGCTTTCGTAAGCTACAGCTCACTCCATCGGATGCGTTCAGTGGAAAATACAGTGGGGAGATTTACATACACAGAGAACATGAAACAATGGGTGTTATTATACACACTGTAAGGAGAGTAATCAGGTAAGATGAGCTATTACTAGCAGGAGGGGCGGGGAGGGGAACGCTTTGTAGTGATAATCAAGGTGGGCCATTTCCAGCAGTTGACAAGGGAGAGGAGGGGGAGAAGAGGGAGGAATAAACACGCATTCTTACAACTACAATACTCACCTGCTGAAGTGAAGTGAAGAAACAGATTGACAGAGCCAGAAGAATACCCAGAAGTCACCTACTACAGAACAGGCCCAACAAAGAAAATAACAGAACTCCACTAGCCATCACCGTAAGTCCCCAACTAAAACCTCTCCAATGCATCATCAAGGATCTACAACCTATCCTGAAGGACGACCCATCACTCTCACAGATCTTGGGTGACAGGCCAGTCCCTGCTTACAGACAGCCCCCCAACCTGAAGCAAATACTCACCAGCAACCACACACCACACAACAGAACCACTAACCTAGGAACCTATCCTTGCAACAAAGCCCGTTGCCAACTGTGTCCACATATCTATTCAGGGGACACCATCATAGGGCCTAATCACATCAGCCACACTATCAGAGGCTCGTTCACCTGCACATCTACCAATGGGATATATGCCATCATGTGCCAGCAATGCCCCTCAACCATGTACATGGGTCAAACTGGACAGTCTCTATGTAGAAGAATAAAAGGACACAAATCAGATGCCAAGAATTATAACATTCAAAAAATCAGAGAACACTTCAACCTCCCTGGTCACTCGACCTCAGACCTAAAAGTGGCAATTCTTCAACAAAAAACTTCAAAAACAAACTATAAGGAGAGACTGCTGAATTGGAATTAATTTGCAAACTGGATACAATTAGGCTTGAATAGAGACTGGGAGTGGATGGGTCATTACACAAAGTAAAACTATTTCCCCATGTTTATTCCCCCCCCACAGTTCCTCAGACGTTCTTGTCAACTGCTGGAAATGGCCCACCTTGATTATCACTACAAAAGGTTTCCTCCCTGCCCCCCCCACCGCTGGTAACAGCTCATCATAAGTGATCACTCTCCTTACAGTGTGTATGGTAACACCCATTGTTTCATGTTCTCTGTGTATATAAATCTCCCCATTGTATTTTCCACTGAATGCATCCGATGAAGTGAGCTGTAGCTCACGATAGCTTATGCTCAAATAAATTTGTTAGTCTCTAAGGTGCCACAAGTACTCCTTTTCTTCATGGGGAAATAGTTTTACTTTGTGTAATGATACATCCACTCCCAGTCTTTATTCAAGCCTAAGTTAATTGTATCCAGTTTGCAAATTAATTCCAATTCAGCAGTCTCTCGTTGGAATCTGTTTTTGAAGTTTTTTTGTTGAAGAATTGCCACTTTTAGGTCTGTAATCAAGCGACCAGAGAGACTGAAGTGTTCTCCAACTGGTTTTTGAATGTTATAATTCTTGACATCTGATTTGTGTCCATTTATTCTTTTACGTAGAGACTGTCCAGTTTGGCCAATGTACATGTATTACACATATCACTAAGTCCCCCTGCCAATTTCTGTGGTTTTACAAATTTTCCTATTTTAAAATGTTTCCCCCTCAAAGAAGAAAAACAGTGTTAAATTACTATAAAATGCCTAAAATAAACAAGCTAAGAGAAATATTTTCCTCTAGATGCTTTCAATAATAGTAATCTTACTGGCTACTTGAAACAAATACAGGTAAAAAGTTTCCCAAGAAGAGGGTGATCTTTAAATTGATGCGTCTCTAAAATTTAATCAATAACTAAAACTAGACATGCTATCACATTCCATTTCTGTGTGTTATCCAAATTACAAAGGCCTATGATTTTTGTGGGAAGGATTCAGAATTAACATATATACACAGTACAACTTTAGAGAACCAACATTAAGATGCAATGTTTAGGCATCAGAAGTAGTCGTAGTGATTTAAGAGAACTCAATTATATTTTTTCATACTAAATATACAGAAGAGAATGAAATGTACGTGGTTAGTTTTAAATAAAAACCTTCACAATAACATTTCTGGAATTATAATACAGCTTGTTTTTGTTTTTTGGGTTTTTTAATATTTGGAGAGCAACCAGTGAACATCTCGTTGAGGAAGGTACTTTCTACACAGACAGCAGAACCCCATTTTCTGAATCCTTTAATATTAAACTAATCATTTATTCCCTGAATGCTTTACACTCAATTATTTTATTATTTGACATCCCCAAACATTTCAGGTAAACAAAAAAGTAAAAAATTATATTGGCGTATCTGATCGAGGTTCAAAACCTAGACATTATTGGATCCTGGATTATTCCTCCATGCCCAAGTAGCAGAGATTCCTCCCCCATCCCGATTAATGAAGGAGAGGCAAATGCATCCTATACTTTCAAAAGTAGACCTCCTATAGTCCTACCCATGCCTGTGTGTCATCTCAACGTTAGATTATACTATGCTTTACCACATGTTGAGCCCATTCAGAAACTGAAGTTAAAGCAGAGAACAGATGCCCACTTAAGTGGTGTTTCATGCAGATAACATTATGCCAGTGTTCTGGGATCTTAACTAGACCTCCACACAGAAACTATTGGGAGCAAGGAGCTGATTTTAATAGAGTATACTTTATGAAGAAACTCTGAATTGCTTAGGACTGGCGTACTTGACTAATTGTCTCTGTCCCATATGGTATTAATGCAGCAGCTCCTATAGCTGAAACAAGGACCATCAACGACAGGACACTTTTCAGTGAGGGTCTTCGTTGGCCTAAATCAGAACTGCTTTCATCACTATCTGGGAAGGGGGTGGATTGATGTGGTTGACATCCAGATGGTGCTTGACACAAATCATAACAGTGCCAAATCAACGTGAGGTTGTACAAAATATATTTTACTGTACTTTAACTGTTTCCATAGTGCTATAGCTGCACCCGCGTTAGGGCAATGAGCAGTTTATAAATAATATTTTGCATTTTAACTATGCATTGCCCTGTAGGTACTCCACAAATACATTAAAAATTGAAACAACTCGGCTACCGTGCTGGCTGAAGCCTTCCCTCCGGTATCGCAGGTTGACAAGGAGCAGTAAAATAAAGTACATGAAGCCTGAAGCAAAGACATAACACGAGCACTAGGAAGAGCTAAGAGTAAGTGGCACTCCCTCCATGTCAGTGGCTACCAGCTTCTTACAGAGAGAAGGACGAGAAAGGTCCCCCTACCCCCATATCCACACACCCGTCAGCAGCCGCCCTGTTCCTCTCCCTCTCCCTGGTGCACAGCAAAGGAAGACACCCACGGAAGGGAAATGCCGAAAGGCTTTAACTCCCCCGTCAGCGCAGACACTCCCCACTCTGGGCAGCCACCCTCAGCCCCACAGCTGTCCGGGTGAGGAGGGGAAGACAGCCCGTTCCCGGCTGGGGAAGCGAAGGGCTCAGCCCGTCCGCGCTCACCCCCACCTCAGTAGCTTCCCCCGTGAGGAGAAAGGGGAAGACACTCCCTCCCCTCCCCAGCCGGCAGTGCAGGCCTCAGCCCCAGAGCAGGCCCTCGGCTGATACAGCAGCAGCAAGGAGGCGGTGGTGCCGGGCGCGGGATTAGGAGAGACGCCAGAGCACAGCGGCCCAGTCCCGCCGCCATGCCCGGCCCCTCCCGCAGGGTGCTGTGGGAACTACCTCCAGGTCGCGGCCTTTGTTCTTGAAGTTCTTCAGCCGTTGGTTATCTAGTTTCTCGTTGTCGGCCATGGCGGGAGAGAAGGAGCGCGGCCTCCCCCCGGGCCTGCCGGGATCCCCTGCCCGGCGCCGCCTCACTCACACTCCCTGCGCGTCCGCGCTGCGGCCTGCGCCACTAGGCCGCCGCTGCCACTGCCGCCTCCGCACTTCCTGGCTTCCTTCCGGCCGCTCGCTAGCTTCGGCTGCCTGGGCCGCGAAATGTGCCGGTAACCAGCAAAGGGACAGAGCCGAGGTGGGAGGGAAGAGGGGAGGGGAGGGGAAAGGAGGAGGTAGCCTCGATCTAGCCGGCCGAGGCCACGCCCACCCCTACGGGCCGCGCTCTCTGATTGGCTGTGGAGACACGGGCCGGCGGCGAATGGGAGAGAAGAACTTGGAGGGAGGGGGCTGAGTTGCGGGAGGGAGTGGAGGTGAGAAGGCGGGGATGGGACAAGACGCTAGACGTGGGGAGCGAGGCGGAGACACGTAGGGTGAAGGCACCGACGGCGAGACGGGTTACGGAGAGAGTGCTTCTTTCACAGTAGTCGGCGGGGTTTCCCCCGAAGCCGGACAGCCATTTTGGGCCCCAGATTTTTAGAGGGCGGGGGCGCGGGGTGCCCTTTTCCTCCTCCTCCTCCTCCTGCAGCGGCTGCTTTTTCAGTTGTTGAGTCAGCTAAAAGTCAACAACAATGTCATCATGATCCTCCTTCCCGCCTCACTTGGCTGCTGTGCGCGTACCTTGGGAGCTGCGAGGGCTTCTCCCTCTGTCTCTAGCCTGGGGGGCAAGAGACTGTGCGGCACCCGCTGCCTTGGGGGAGGAGGCACATAAGCGGTTAGTAGCTGTTGTTTTTATTTATTACTAATTGTTACAAAACTTTTCACTATGTTTTTAAAATAACCACAGAACAAAACTGTGTATTTTGCTTATCCTAGCCCTGTGCTCATGCAGAAACCAGCACTTGGGGATGGCAGGGGCTCTCAGCTTTCACTGTTTCTTATTTTTTCTCAACTCTGAGTCACTTCTTCTACCTCTATCCAACTCCCCTTTACCTCCATCAAATTTGCACCTCCCCCAGTGACAGTGGGATTAGTTTGAGACAGAACAGTAGCTTCTTTGCAATCAGTGGATACCCTAAGTCGGGGTGGGCAAACTTTTTGGCCTGAGGGCCACATCTGGGTAAGGAAATTGTAAGGTGGGCCACGAATGCCCAGTGATGGAGGGGGACTCCATAACAGATTTTATGGAGTTTGGGGGGAAGGGGGACTCATGGGGTGTGGTGCAGAGGGGCTCTGCAGGGGCAGTACCAGGGACTCCTAGGGGACCTGCTGGCAATGACACCAAGGTGGCCGTACCAGGACCCCACAGGAAGAGGCACCCTAGCTGGGATGGGTGTGGCCCCTGGGTGATTTCAAGGCTCTTGAGGGTGGGGCCATAGGAGACTGGGAGGGGACTGGGCACACAGCTGTTGCGGGAAGCTCATTCAAGGTCTGACCTATTCACTGAGTGATGGCAGCCAACTCAAGTTACTAGTGCCAGCTGACTCAAGTGATGGTTTTTGTATCCGGAGTCCAGGACAGATTTGAAATTTGGTTCTCTGTTCACCAGGGAGATAATGTAGAGCAGTGGTGGGCAACCTGCGGCCCGTCAGGGTAATCCTCTGGCCGGCCGCCAGAGATTTTGTTTACATTTGTATGGCCGCCCACAGCTCCCAGTGACCACGCTGTTGGGAGCTGTGGGAAGCGGTGCGGGCCACAGGGATGTGCTGCTCGCCGTTTCCCACAGCTCCCATTGACTGGGAACGGTGAACCACGGCCACTGGGAGCTGTGGGTAGCTGTCCAAATATAAACAAAAGGTCTGGCGGCATACCAGCGGATTACCCTGATGGGCCACAGGTTGCCCATCACTGATGTAGAGAGTACTGCACTGAGATGATGGGCTCAAACACTGTTCCCTCTAAGCTGTGTGCATGTGCGCGCACACACAGATCTTAAACCCCGTGCACATGGTGAAACACCATGCTCACAAAACTTTGCACAGAAGAAATTTTTTGCACACATGGCCTGTCAAAAATTAGAGGGAACATTGCTCATAAGAACCTGTCTTGTTAACTAGATAGGTGCTTGCATTTTGTATGGGTTGGAGCTTTTTCAAAGTAAGTGGTGTTTATTCCTACATAGAAATAGTTGTAGTAATCAAGTTTAACAGTCACAAATGTGTGGATGACTATGGCCCCATAGACCAATAGAATGGCCAGCGAGTGCAACTGAATCACACTTAAAGGAGATATTTTCCTCTCATGACTATTAATAGATTAAAGAGAAAATATTTTTATTTACTTTACTACAGTAATGGCCTAGGAAAAAAATAGCACAATGATTGTAAAACCACAAGAAAATGGCAGCGCTCATAGTCACTTTAAAAAAATAAGCTAAATTTCAAATTGATGTTTTCCATTTTGAGTCAGAGAAACAAGAGATTCCATCTGTGTTTTCAGTTCTAGCTCATTTTTGCAATAGTTCTAATTGTTCAGCTTATGATTGTCCTCAGCAGAATGTGGCTGCATCACTGGAATAGGAAGAGGTCAATGGGTTAAAAGTGCCTTTTCTTCCTTTGCTAGTGTGGAAAGTTCCTCCCTTGTTTTTTGCTGAAGCTTCTGCTGCTGAGTTTCTTGTATGATTCCCGCTGTTCATAACTTGTTCTGTGTAAGTCTTTGAAAGAAGTCTCCCTCAGTTTGTTTTAGTTTTCAGACAGATTTTAAAGCCTCCTATTGTGATTAAGGATTGTGTTGCGTGTTTCAGTGGGACACTTAAAATTCCTCACTCTCTTCCCCTCTTTCAAGTTGTCCTAGCTTAACATGTCTATCATAATTACACACATTGACATGATGAAGGAGAGAAGATTGCACTGGCAACTATATTCAGGGACTTAAATACTCAGATGTGCAGTTATTGACCACTGTGTACCAGGAGGGTAGAACACAGAAAAAGTTTTCTAAATATATCAAAAGTGTGACTAAAGGCCATGATAGCAAAAGGCTGAAGACGTCAATCATACTGCTTTGATAATATAGTTAGTATATTTAAAGTTCCAGTGTTTCTGAGTTACTGGGCACTGAAAAGGCCATCATCTGAAAATTTTAGAGTGAAAAGAAATTTATGAAAGAAGCTTTACATTCTTAACCATAATATCTATCTGTACAAATACTACAAAACATGGAAGAGTTAGCACTATAACAACACCAAGGCATTAGTCTCATAACTTAAAGGGAAGGCACTTAAAAGCACATTATTATACAGAACTACTTATAAATGCTTCCCAGTCACTCCCCTTGTGCACCTGGGATCTGGGAAGCAGTGTGCAGAATATTTCTGGGAGTTTTATAGCTCCAAAAATCCTTCAATATGGGCCAGTGTCTTAAAGGCACAATTGAGCCCCTTGATTGGCAGAATGCAATTATCTTTCTTGAAATTTATTTAGTTATTTATCGAAATTGAAAATACTGGGGTTTAGCTCACATTTTACAGATAACATCCTGAGATTTTAAATTATCACAAATGGTTAGGCCCTTGACTGATGGTGGTGGAAGGGGAAAAGCAAAATTATATGGTCTAAGACCCAATGGGAGCCTGAAGAAAGAACATCTTGCTCCCTCCTTACTCTCTCCTGCTGCTGTACTGCCCTTTTCATTTCTTATCCAAACACATTAGAGCTGAACCCCTCTTCCACATTTCACCACCACAATTCAGCTTTGATCTAGGATTAAATAATCTGTGGGTGTGAGAAGAAGGGGAGGGGGAAAAAAGAAGCCAATATCTGTACCAGCCCCAATGTAGATGCATTAGCCCTACATCTAACTCTCAACCAGTACCAACAACCTGTAACAGGCCTACACAAAATCTTCCCACTCCACTGCCCTGCAGCACCCAAAACCCTCCCACTGTTGCTTCCTATGACCTTAATCCCACATTATTTTGCAACAAACTGTGAGATAGGGAGGATGGTGCAATAATTTTTCTATTATTTTGTGACTTGCAGTTTGTTCCCTGGAGGATTCAAATCCAGACCTGTCCCGAACTTTCAAAGCTTCTAAAATTGTCAGATCTAGCATAACATTCTTATGGGTGTATATTTTTCATGAATCACATTCTTAGCTCCCATTAAATTGCATGTTCATAGAAAGGAGCTTGTCCTTCAGTAGTCTTTGATCTGTCTTTCTGGTCTGTTATCATTTGGAGAATAATTCACAGAGGATATAGTTATGCTTATTGTAACTCCACTGACTTAAATTGAGAGATCAGGGATGAAGCAGGTCTACGATGTTTAACTACAGTCTAATTTATCTAGCTCTCAGAGATACCATGGTAATTGTATTTATTCATGAGGGCACTATGGAGAGTATTTGCAATAGTGTTAAAGAGTAGCACAAGAACCATTCCATGTATGATAACCATAACTAAAGCAAAGAACTTAAAAGTTCACTGTCAGTGATTTCTTCAAGCAGTTTCTCACTCTTCCTCACCATTGGCTTCATTTTACCCTCAGATCAGCACTGCTGATCGCCAAATACTTAGAAGAAATTATGGATTTGAAGGATTGACAGCAGACTCCCTTTTAAATCCTTGGTTTCCTGACATTATGCCATCTTCCAAAAAAGTACAGAGACTCAGGTACTTATAGTTTCTCCAAAAAGGATGTAGTTGGATGAAAGTATTTACAGCATAACAAAATATGTACATTACACAAATTTAATAGGTATGGTATATTCCAGGATGACATATGTGATGTGTACAAAACTATGGCTTTAATATATTTCTCAGAGTGGAGTTCTAAATGCAAATGTCCAGAGACATGGAACTAGAGCAGTGGTTCCCAAACTTTAACAGCCCACGAACCCTTTCACTAAATTGTGAAATCTCGTGAACCCCCTCCTAAAAATGAATATTTCCAGAGATTTAAGTTTAAATTTCCTCCTCACTCCGTGGGACTCCTGCTGCTGGACCCCATTGACCACCCCAGTCAACTGAGCTCAGGCTGCAGGTCTCGCTGACCAACAGGGCTCGGGCTGCCAGCCCCAACTGCCTGACCCCGCTCTCCCTGGAGCTTGGGCTGCCAGCCCCATGTGGAGCACTGGGGTTCAGGCTGCCGCCTCCCCTGCTCACGGGGGCAGGGCTCGGGCTGCCACCCCCAACTGCCTGGCTCCGCTCTCCCTGGAGCTCGGGCTGCCAGCCCCGCGTGGAGCACTGGGGTTCGGGCTGCCGGCTCCCCCGCTCACGGGG